AGGGGAGGGGAAGGAGGGGCGGCCTCTAGGCCTCGAGTCTCGCGGCCTGGGGCATCTGGGATGACCTGGATCCGTGCACTTTGGTTTCTAAATGGGCCTGGGAACTTTGGTGGTGATGGTTTTATTTCAAAAGTTCGGAATATTGTTTCTAAAGCATCCTTTGGATTACAATTCTTAAAATTGAAGTAGTACTTGACTAAAAAACAAAACACCACTCCCTCTCTCTGTCTCCAGAATGGTAAGGTGGCATCCTAAGGAGGCTTAAGTCCCCCCCCCCCCAGGGGAGGTGTCAGGTGAGGGAAGGAACCACTAACGTCCTTCATGGATTGAACAAAAAAATATATGTGGGGACAGTGGGGACCTACTAATATTAGAAATGCCTGCCATTCATTTTCATCTGATTAAAAAAACCTAAACATTCAAGCAGAAAGCAGGTAAATCTTCCCTTAGTCCGGTAGTTTCCTTCTAAATGCTTACATTTGGATACATCTTATTTAAATTGTAAATGCTTCAGAGGGTCCCATTAATGACTCAATCCTGGAACCCCTCAGTACTGTTCTTATTCAGCCTTGCCAGTGCTGGAGTCTATGCATCATCTAAGTACTTTTGATTGTTGTTGTGAGTCATGTGGTGTATTCTTAATTCCTTTTTTTTTTTTTTTGAAATATGTCAAAGGGAAATTATGGCAAGATTCTCTTTAATGATTAAATAATAAGGTGTTGACTGCTTGTCACTACACTAGCTAATTGGGATGTTCATTCTAGTCCCTTTGTTGCTTACTATTCTTTGAATTAAAAGTTACTTGTATACCAGGTGTGTTTTTATTGTTACTTTCTGGTTGGCTTATGGTGTGTATGCATGAATTTCAGAGTAAGGGTGTATTAATTCTAATGGGGCATTTTAAAATATTTTTATTTTTATTTTTGGTAGTGGGAATCAAACTCTAGTCCTTGCACTTGTTAAGCAGGCTGCAGAGCCACTGAGCCACCTCCCCAGCCCTTAAACACATTTTAAAAAAGGAGTAAGAAAAAAAGTACA